TTCCAAGCCAAAACACTATTAGAAGTAAATATAAAATTACTAAAAAACTAAACTGCACTTTGTACTTAACTAAATTGTAAATTTAATCTTACTGGACAACTGACAAGAGGTTCGCACATTAACAATCTCCTGAGAGTGGTTTAATTAAATGATTTTATTATTACATGCAAGCATAGAGTTAATATATCCAAAGTTTTAATGCAAAATGACACTGTGCCCTATGGTCAATGTGAACTAATGTGCGAACCACAAGTTAGATAGATAACAAATATTAGATTAAAATATTGAAATTATTACCAATTAATATTATACAAATTTGATTTTGTATTGCACTGCCGGTACAAACAGGCTCACAAACGTGCTTACGAAAAAACAATCGACAAATAATTTTTGTAATAAAACAAAAAAAAAGTATATAAAGTGTTAGGTTATGAGAAACGAAATTAGTATTACAACTAAAGCGAGATGCAGAAACAAAACCGTTGAACAAAAAACACTAGTAATAAGGCGACGGACATCGAGAGAGTGAATTACAAAACCATAACGGCCAAGCGTCCGATGAGTGGAGTGTTATCACCAGCTGATACACTATCAGTATGGCCAACTTGAGCGATCACCCGAACAGAATATTTTATATAAAATTAGGGCTACCAGATGTTCAGAGTCAAAAATACGGACATAACAAAACCTACCCCCCTATTAATAATTGGAAAATATAAATTTTTTTTTTTAATTTTCAAAAAGTAGAAGAAATAATCAAATTAAAAAAAATATTTTAATTTGTTTGCGTGATAGGTGATGCGCATTTATGAAAATTAATGATAATCGATAGAAATTAATTGTTATCAATAGGAATCGATGATCGATATAGTTTGACATTTTCTTTTTTCCTTGGCCTTAAGCGCCTTGGATGTTTTTGACTGTTTCGGTTCTGGAATTGTTTTTCCATTTGGAAATGTTTGATCTTGATTTACTGACGACATTCACATAAATGCGGGTAAATGCGGTAAATGTAAATAACAGCTGCTCTGCAGACATGACATGTATAATAATAACAATAAGATAACGATATACTTACATCTTACAGTTGCAGTAACCATACAGTACTTAATGCATGCTTAAACAGTAGTTATATTAAAAGCTAGTTATTCCAGTGCCGTATGATGGCATGGTTGGTCATTACTCAAATTTATAGTCTGCCTGATTCTGCCCATTTTTACATATATTTTCTCTCTCTTTCTCGCCTCTCAGAGCAAAATAAGAGAGAATGTGACAGAATTCTCCAATTACTCGCCACTTAACGTAATTTTTTCATGCACTTAACTTTTTGAAAATTTTAGATCATTTCATGAAAAATGCGGACTTGTCCGTATAAATACGGACGTCTAGTAGCCCTAGATAGACAATATTACTGAAGCGGCTATGAACAGAGACAGATGGAAGGAGATTTGTTTTTCAGCAATGGGCCTTAATGGCCTTTAAAACTGGAAGAAGAAGAAGAATATACGGGTGTTAACCCTTTAACAATTAGAATATTTATAAGTACAGTAAAAATCATTAATAATAACTTAAACAGTTACAAAAAAAGAAATAATAATAACATGTTTGTAGTGAATAAAAATATAATAATAATAAATTATACAAGAGAATTTGAATTTAATTTTAAAGCCAAATAAACATTCTGTCTGAATACAAAACGCGACATAGAAAAAAATCGATGTGATCCATAGTACTGTTAGCCAAAGATAGAGCTCTTGGGAAAAACGAGAAGGAAGTATAAATATTTTTAGGAAGAGAAATGTGAAAAAAATTAGATTTTCTTAATACATGAGTATGTACCTTAAAACCCATGTGAGATAATAATTCCGGAGAATAAATAAGACCATTTAATAAATCATATAGGAACATTATATCTGCAACATTTTTTTTTTTGTTCTTAATTATTTTTTAATAATATTAAAACTTAGAAGTGATATAAAAAGTCTAATTGCACATTTAAAAACA